GCTCCTTTCTAGTTTAAATTTAGGGAAATGGCTGTTCAGAGCACAATTTTAAGTGAAACTAACTTTCGCCCAGAAATATATGCATGGTGATAGTTTTAGATCACTCATCGGGCCAAAAAAAAGGTGAAGGATGTCTTAGCAGTTGGCACATTCCTCGCGATAAAACAAGCCGCACCTACCTGGTCGATCTTATTTCAAGCCTCCCGTAAGAGAGCCTCCACCTTCCTCCTACCCCCACCCCCGCTTCCCTCCGAGAGTAACGCCCCCTGGAAATGTCGCCACTCCAAGAAGAAGTTGGTCATCACTGCTTATCACTGTAATTCCTTTCAAAGAAAGCCCAAAAAGGTAAAGATCACCGAAAACCACAACGGACACATAAGGAGTGAATAATTTTTACTAATCTTACGCGTAACTTGTTCATATTTCGGAATATTTAGCGTTGTAAATCGACCATATGATATTTCGTTTCCCATACAATTCCTTACAAAACGCGTTCAAATTCTCAACGGTTCCCCGCGTAACCTTTCACCGCCGCGTCAGTTTAGACTCACCAGGGCTCTTTCCGCCCTGGACTCTCATAACGCGTGACGCTTTCATGAATGAATACGTACGTGTCCGAGAATTAATTTTTCGCTTTTTCCCAGACGTGAGCTTGGGATGCCTGTGGTCTAGATAATTAAATCATTGCATTGCTGGAGGCGACAATTAGCTTTGAGGAGTCGGATGGCAAAATTTGACACGTTTTAAAATTATATCGTCTTCCGTTAAAGAAATATAAAAAGAATTTATTTTGGGATATAATCTGAGTAGTGATTTAGCAGCAGTGGGTGTTGTGACTGAATACAATAATCGGAAAAAAGAAACTGTACTTCTAATGTACTTACTTTTAATATACTTCTAACACAAAGTTAAGTATTCTGCAAACAGCATTATAACCCGAGTGAGGCTTCAACTTTTGAGATGAAATGCATTTTCTAACCATCTACTGACAAAACACCTTAAGAAATATTTTTTTTGTCGGCACGTTTTCTGGACGATTGATAATTCCTTGCTGTGACTCGAGCACTTCAATTTCATATCTCACCCATTTCAAGGATACTCAGCAAGTTAACGTTTCAACGGCCTTCTTTCACAAACGACGTCAAATTGCGGATACGTAAGCTTTTCCACACGATTTCATATCACGAAAAGAGAAAACGGGTTGGACTCCCATGTGAAAAGGTCAGGGATGCTTGTCGACAAATCTGAATTAAACTCCTAAAAGCCCGAGGGGATACTCCCAGAAACGTTGGGTGGGGGTGTGCGGCCCACTTCCCAAAACCCTTACTCTGTTCATTTTTGCTACCCTATTTATGACCTGGCCAGAAATTTCATACCCTATTTATGACCGTTGTGGCTGGGACAGTTGCCCTCAACACAAGTTATGAAGGGATTTTGTTTGCGGCCTTTCTGATAATGATGAAAAAGTGGCTTCTTCTAAGAAACATACCCAATTCAAGACCAGAGTGCTAAAACCATACCCTATTTGAGACCAATATGCCCAAATCGATACCCTATTTATTACCAAAACGGCTGAAAAACCATACCCTTTGGGACTGCACGTACCCATATAGCCCATATAAGGGACTCTCCCCGGGCCTAAAAGAGACCAATCTGGGCGTGACTCGAGCTTTGTTTTGACGCTTAAAGGATACCACATTGAAACCGGACAGACAGCGCTTTATTGTAACTATTTTTTTGAGTCAGTGTAACCCTAAAAGTTACTTTGAATGCTAAATATAGTGGCGTTTCGTCCCCGACACCCTTGGTATGGGTATACTAAAATCCTTGATTTACACCTTCTAAGCGAAACGACACTGAGCATCCCCGACC